AGCAGCAACCCAAGATTCTTACAGAGTTCTAAGGACCAGCCCATCATTTCACTAGCCAGAGTCCAAATAAAAACTGGTCAGTTGTCAACTTTTATTTAGACGTAAGTATCATATGACATTACTGTACTACAGAGAACGCTAATACTAAGAGAAATAGCTGAATACAGATAATTCTTTAAGCAATCACTAAGCACTTAATGCAGGTACAAGAAGGGGAAAAGTAGAATTCACAGGCTTCACAAAAGGACAATAACAAAAATAGTATTTCAAATCAATAACCAAGACTTAAAAATAGTATTTCAAATCAATAATCAGTAACCCAAGACTTATTTTTCCATCAATATTCAGAAAAAAGATTTTCTTTACTATCATTTTTAGTCATCAACAAATACCAATATTTACTTCCTGATATTAATGCTATTCAAGGACTATATAAAGACAATACCTTACAGGTGTCTTTATTTTGGATAGTTCAGTGAAGTTGTACTAATTAAACCATTCTCTTTGAAGGAAATTAATTCACTGCAAGTGTTAACCACTTCTGGCTAGTATAGGATCCACACAAATGAGTCTAATTTAAGGAGAGTGAAATCCATTTTAATATTTCTGAACATACTAAGTTCAAAAGTTTTAAAGTAAATCAACTCATACACATTACTTATTAAGCAGTCTACTTGAATAGTAAAATAATGGTCACTTGAAGTAATAGAAGATAAATAATAATTTATAGTTAAATTAGCTTCTCTATTTTATACAGGATTGGGGGGTTGGGGATTGAATCTAGGGCTTTTATACTGAATTATATTCCTATTCTTTTCAATTTTAAGACACGGTCTCATTAAGTTACTAAGTTGCCCAGACTGGGCTTCAACTTGCGAACCCCCTGCCTTAGCTTCTCAGAGTGTTGGGATTATATGCTTGTGCCAAGGACTAACTTATATTGAAATGTTATATAAAAATACTACTAAATGGCAAAAGTTTTTCAAGATGAATTTTTATAGGAAGAAGAAGCTGGCATGCCTCTCATAGAAACATTTAATAAATATTGTAACAAATTTCTAACAGTGTTAGTTTTGGGGAATGTGTTGGATAGAATGTGTCTATTTTTACCAGCTGTTAATTTCTCAATTATTTGAGTTTTTCCACTCCGTCTAAAAATTTGTGGTTGAATATATGAAGGAGCAATTAATAATATGTCATCTAGAAAAGCAAAACAAGACACCAAATGAAAATTCTGGAGTTACAGTCTCATTTCCACGGTTGTGCATATTTTCTCAACTGTTCAATAAAAAAAAAAAAAAAGAAAACCAGGGACAGTATTAGAACTATGGATTACAGTAAAGTGTTAAGAGTCTTCCCTCATTTACCTTACTCTAGAAATAATGGTCCCTGCCTCCGACATGAAATAAAAATTCTTGTGGCCCATCCATACATAAAGAGCCATCTATTTCATTTTAAAATAAAGTATTTTCTACTAAGTTTGGCAGTTTTTCACTGCCAAAAATCAATGCCACAGTTAGGCTATTACAAACAACCAAAAGCTGTGGTTTGCAGAACTGTAATTTATTTTATTTTATTTTTTAAATTTTAAAAATAAAAAAAGGAAAACATTAACAGACAACCATTTACAAAATAGCAAAAGAACAATACAAACAATACAGAGTTACAAACAAAGTGATAGGAAATTAACAATGCTTGTTGTATTACATATTGATATTTTCAAAGTGGTTTCTCAGGAAAACAAATAGAGACATGCAATACTGATCAATCAAGAAATCATTAACTGTTTCTTTCAGCAAAGAAATAGAAGATAATAGTTCAACTATGTTAATTATCCTGTATGTACATATATACAAAATTTCTCCTTCTTTCCCTTCTCTTTTCCCACATCCAAGTTGCCCTTTACTTTTGAGCATTTTCCTTTTGTTTCACAATGTCTTTCATACCTCCTAGTTTTTATTCACTCTTTCAGGTTTTACACTAGTGAGACAATGCGGTGTTTGCACGTGCAGGTCTGATTTATTTCACTTATGAGTATGGTCTCTAGTTGTGACCATTTACCTATAAAAGCCTTGAGTTTATCTTTCTTTATAGCGGAGTAATATTCCACTATATAAAAGTACCACAACAGAACTGTAATTTAAACTGTTATAATTTCAGTTTTTGTTAGGGGAAAAAATTATTTGTAATTTTCTGCTCTTGACTTGCAATGATTATGAAAAACTTAAAAAAAAAAACACAAATAGCTACTTACATTTCAACAAGTTTACTGTTACTTGGCATGAAACAGGTATGCAGGTGTGTCAACCTTTTAAACACACCGAGTATACTGTGCTTTTTGGATTGTATTGCACAGGACATGAATCCTCATGGCAGGAGAGCCAATCAGTGTTCTACTGAAAAAGGAAGCTATATGTCAGCCTACATTCTGGGGATGAAGGAATATCAGAATAGACATCTGGGCTGAGACCAGCCCAACAGGGAAAATCTAAATATGATAGTGATTAACCAATCTAATCTGATCTTCCCTCCTTGAAAAGGTGTTTTCAATAGCTGGCACCATATCACTTACTCTGTCAGTTCTGGTGTTGGTTTATGGTAAGAAAGAGAAGCAGTTGGAGGGTCTCCTTTTCTACCAAAATAGAGGAGAAACTGCAGAAATTAATGACTCCAGTTATTACACCAGGGCCAGATATGGTTTCCTCACTGGACCAGAATAATACAAGCACTAAAACTTGGCACATAGCTAATACTCTGGCTAGTATACGTTTCTCTGCTGCTGTCTGCCATCTTAAGACCATTAGAGGGAATTTCATGTCAGCTGGCAGAGAAAATGTCACGGTCTGACCTCAAGGATCTGTTGATTCTCAAGCTCCATGCCATAATCTAAGTGCTGAGACCCTGACCAGCTCTCCTTCACAAAGGTGGTGACAGGGTGGTCTCTTGTTGATATTCATAATGCTGATCAGTTCTGGAGACCAGGACATGGAAAAGAACCTGTCTGGATTGGTAAAGACAGAAAAGAAACTAGCCTAGCATACAGTGTCAAGCACTTTTAAAGTTCCTATTTGTTTATGGGTCTAGAGCAGAGGTTGGCAAACTATGGCCTGAAGGCCAAATCCAGCCCATCACTTGTTTTCATAAACGAAGTTTAACTAGAATGCCGCCATGCCTATTTGATTATGCACCATTTGTGGCTGCTTTCTTTCTATGGTACCAGAACTGAGTAGTTATGGCAGAGAACGTGTGGCCTAAAATACCCAAATAGGTTAATCACAGTCTTTAGCTAGAAGCCCTTCACCTGATTCACTGTCTTCTCCTTCAACCAGAACTATGCCTTCATGGAGGTATTCTATGTATTTTGGCCAACAAATTTGAGAGACCTGAGCTGGTTTCATTTTTACACAGGACTAGTCAATTACTAACTGCTAATACATTATAGCACTTTGAGAAATTGCCCTAAAGGACAATACAGAAGGAAAGTATCTGCTTTGACACATTTTTAAGCAGTTCGCTTTTTCTGGTCCATTCTATCTTTAGGAAGAAAAGCCTCAGGTCAGTTTTTTTTTTAGTCAGTTTTGAGGAACTGCTAATGGTTGATTCAGATTATAGACTGGAAATAGCCAAGAATGCTGACAAGGAGAGCTGAGGAAGGGCAATGTAGGTGGCGCTCATGAAGTATACACAAATTTGTTTCCCACATGAACTTTTATCAATGTCCACAAGTACAGAAAAGTCTTGCGTATAGAACTGCATCTGAGTCTCTCCTTTCCAGTCAATCCGAGGCTTGCTCAATAGGCTTATGAGCAAGCCTGCTGATCATCAGTAGCACTAACAGACACTAAGTCAGTAGTTACAGAAACTAATACATTACTACTGGCTAGTGCTGACATTGTCAGCAATATGGACTAATCCTGAATCTCTAATTTTTTTACCATACATTGAGGGACCAGTTAGTTACCCAATAACAGGCTAACTACATTTGGATTCTTCTGTTGTGGAAAGAACAATGCTTTGCCTCCACTGGACTTGATAATATGGGTTTGGATAGGCCTTTTCTGTCTCTGTACCCCTGACAACATCACCATATATCTTTTTATAGATGCCTTGTATATCACCACTGCATTATTACATAAAATGCCTCTAACAATGTATTCCTCATAAAAACATGCACAGGCAAGTATTCTCAGGTCAACAAGACACCTTAATCTTACCAAACACCTACTGTACATAAAAAGCGGGCTTAAAAATGACAAAGAGACCATTATGTGCTTGGATTCAGCACGAGTTATGGCTATCACCTTGCAAGTCTTGTACGTTAATTTTTAGGATTGTGATTACTTACTCTGCCCCAGCAACACATGCAGTAGCAAAACACACCTCTAACAAAACACACAGGACTAAGAAACAAGAAGTAGAAATGTGAGTGGGTTCTCTCAAGGCTATAATTAGTGATCTTGTTTTAAAAAATTGTGTTCCTAGACCTATGGATTCACACTCTACTCCCCCAACTGGCATAATAGGTATTGGGAAGCACACTAGAAATTGGTGACTGGTTCTATATGGTTGAATTAAAGGTAAAATTTTCTTTCTTTTCCTTTGTGATTTCTAGGTTTTTAAATTTTCTAGAATGATTATGCATATTTTATGTTAAAATGTAATTACTAAGGCAAGAAAACACATTCTGCTCACCAGCAGATTTCACTGAAAACGAAAAGTGAAGAGTTAGAATGAATGCAATGACTTGCTAACAAAAACAGACACAACAGAACTAGCTTCCTGCTTTCTTCAGTAGCAATTCCTAGAAAGCAGTTCAGAGAAATTACAGGAACATTTGTAACCTAAGTCTTAATCCTCATCTGTAAAACAAAGATGATAACTACGTATCTCATAAAGCATGTGACAGAACAGCATAAATTAACACTTCTAAAGGTTTGAGTTATTACTCGTTGCAGCAGGTAGCTATGTGTTCAAAAATAAACAAAATGAAAATTACTTACCTTTGGGTTAAAATATCTACAAGACTGAGGCTGGGAACCTCCAAATAGGGCTATGCGGTAATCGTGTTTCTTTCTTCTAGGCCTCGTGCCATCTACGAGTTCTTCTCTGTCCTCTGGAGATAGCAGATGGTACCTCATTCCACCTGTAGAAATATACATAGGACTCTTGAAGAACTTTAGGCACCAACATAGTTCTTTGAAAAGGTAATGCCTAGACAAAATAGCGCATTTATTTTTGTGCCTGTGTTTTATCATCTCACACTGTTTGAGGAAAGTGAGGGGAAAGACACAGAAGAAATGTTTAAGCACTTGACTCCTAACCAATTTATTGTGCACAAAAATCACCATGATTTTAAGACGGTGCCACTCACTTGCTACATACCAGCGAATTACCTGGCTCCTCAAGCAATAGCCACCAAAATTCATCATTATTGAAATCCAGATCACCTACCCCAGTGGGGTTTTTCTTGTTTTTTTTTGAGACAGGGTCTTGCTATGTAGTTCAGGCTGGTTTTGAATTTACTATGTAGTATAGTCAGGCCTTGAACTCCTGGCAGTCCTCCTGCCTCAGCCTCCTGAGTGCTGGGATTACAGGCATGTGCCACCACACCTGGCTCTCCCAATGGTTCTTAATCTTAACTGTACATTAGAATCACTTGGTAAATCTCTGCAATTATGCCTGGGCCCTACCACAGATCAATTAAAATACTTGGTGGTAGGGCCCAGGCATTGGTACAGTAGTTTAGATTTTTGTCTCTTTGAGACAAGGTTTCACTATGCAGTTCAGTTTGGCCTTGAACTCATTTTGTAGTCCAAGCTGGTCTCAAACTTGTAGCGATCCTCCTGCCTCAGCTTCCTGAGTGCTGGGATTACAGGGGTGTGCCACCCTGCCTGACTAATGCCAATTTCTTCTTTTTGTGGTGCTTGGGATCAAACCCAGGGCCTTGTGCATGCGAGGCAAGAGCTCTATCATTGAGCCACATCTCCAGCCCAGTACAGTATTTTAAAGGGCTTATTAAATACTTTCCATTTAAAATGTGGATCAAAGAACAATAGCTTCAGCCATCTGAGAGTCTGTTAGCAATGATGGATCTAGACCCTACTCTAAACCTATTGAATCAGTAAGTTTGCAAACTTAACAAAATTCCAAGGTAATTCAGATGTACATAAAACTTTGAGAAGTCCTGTCTTGGATGATTTTCAAATGCAATGAGGATTGAGAATATGATCTTTTTCCTTCAGCACTTCCTTAATTTGATCAAGAGCCACTTAGTAAAAAACTGTTTAAGGTATTATTTCAAACCACTGTGGGGAAAAATGGATTGTCTATCAATGTTAGACAACTACATGGGAAAAAACTGGACCTTTACCTCATATTTTATTCTAAATTCCAAGTCAATACAAATTGGAATATGTAATAAAACTCTCTTAAAAGCACTAAAAAAACAGGGTAGTTTATGAAAAACTCAGAATGGGAAGGGCTATACATGACAAAAGAATAGGAGCCAAGAAAAAATGTTCACACAACTATATAAAATTTTGATTTGTTACTTTAAAAAAATTAAATTACTATATGGCAAAAAAAAAAAAATCAAGATAGTAACAAATTAGGAAAATACAAAGTATAGACATTTTATTAATTAAAATTAAAACCAGCAACTGCATAGAAAATTATATAAAGTACCTGAATACAGTTTACAGAAAAAGAACTATAAAGAACTTCTAACATATGCAAATATGTTTGACTACTCAATTTAAGAAAATCACAAATGAAAACCATAGCTTTTTACTGATCAGATTGGCCAAAACAAAAAACTGTCTGGAATACAGGGTATGAAGGTGAGTGTGTGCTAGGTGGCACCTTCCTGCATTGCTGTTGAGAGTGTGCACGATACGACCATCTGGAGAGCAACATGAGATTCACCAAAATTACAAATGTACACACCCTTGAACCTAGAAATTCCCCCTTGCTAGGAGTCTGTCAGCCTAATATTCAGTGTTAGGAAAGTGGTTAAAAAATTATGGTACTCTATAGCTCATAACAGAGTATTACATGTGACTGTTAAGAATGGGAAAAGTTAATAAGTACTCATGAAATGATACCCAGCAAATAGTGTAAAATGAAAAAAAAAAAACAGAAAAAACACAAAAATGTAGAATACACAGTATATAACACCATTTGTTTAAATGTATGATTTTTATGCATCTATACAATATTTCATACCTGTATTTATGCATGTGTATACACAGTGTCAATACAGTCTCAAGAAGGATACATAGGATATCAGTACCTCTGGCATAAAGGAACAAGGGGCCAAGGAAGAGGGGTATCAGAAAGATTTGCTTTTTTTTTTTTTGGTTTTCTTCCAGTGCTGGGAATCGAACTCACGACCTTGCACTTGCCAGGCAGGCACTGTGCCACTGAGCTAAATTCCCAGCCCCTGCTTTTTATTATGTACCTATTTATACCTTTTGAATTGTGTATGACATACAGTATTAATTTAAAGATAACCAAAAATTCATAATACATACAAGTCACTCTTTGTACATCAGGCTGGGTTAGGTCTTTGTGGGGGTGCAGAAGAGTATGGTAAAGTTTGTGAAGGAAGGAAAATCATCAATATTTACCATTTCCTTCCCCCACTCCCCCCGAGTTTGAGGAAAAGCACATTGGTATAAAAACAGCTGGAATCTCAGGAGAAGGATCTAGGTCAGGGATCCATGTTCTAGGATAGAGGTTGGCGAACTTTTTTGGTAAAGGGCAGTAAATACCTTAAGCTTTGCAAGCACATCTGGTTTTCATGAAATATTCTGGATTTTATTTTTTTTTGGTTGTTTGTTCATTTTTGCTTTATAATCCTTTGTGAAAAACTACTTTTAGCCTGGCTAGAGTTAGCCTATGCATGGTTCTCAAAGCGTGGCCCCACAGCCAGCAGCATCAGCATCACCTGGAAACATTTGGAACTCCCAGTGTTTGGACATTGGCCCAGACCCTCTGCATGTGAAACTCTGGGGCTTGACAGCTACTGCTCTGGGAGAGTTCTACCCACAATGAAGGTAGCCTCTGTAGTCTATAAACAAAATACTTCCAACAAGAGACAGGAGCGAAGGAGCGAGATGCGAGGGAACGGTTCCAAGTCAACAGGCCCCTGGGTGAAAGTAGTTGAGTAGGGACAATTGTGCTGACCCCAAAGGAAGCATAAGCTGTACTCCTCTGAGATGGTCTTTGTTTCCCTTTTAGAAGTAGGCTATAGACACTTTGGTACCTCTGGACACACAAAGGGCTCAGTTCCTCAGGCTTATTCCTTTGGGAATTATTCCTTCCAGCATCAGGTATTATCATGGGTTAACTCTGAGCAAGAATTTGGCGTGGTTCATTGTAGAGGCTTTAATTGTACCTGATTTTGTAACTTGTTTTCTTTTACATATAAGTTATTTTGATTTATTTTATCCTATTTTCTATTGCCTTTTCTGTTTTGCTTCCTCTCTGAAAAGGAATATAAGTCTGATGGTATGAAAGCAACTGAAGAGCTGAAGAAGGGAGGCTGGAGGCCTTTGCCCAGTTACCCCCGCCCATGCTCCAGGGTTTCCTTGTGCTTCATCAAGAAGGTACAGAACAAGTCACTGTTCTTCATTAAAAAGAAAAAAGTTTCTATAAATGAAGAAATAGTGCAACCCTCTACCAGTGAAGCTGTAAGGTTAGAAAGAGAATATATAGTTTGCAAATGGAGTGAAAATGCAGTCTGATATTATCATGTATGAATCCAAAATATGGAAGGTCTAATCTAAAGGCATTGTCTCAGGGGCTGGGGATTTAGCTTAGCGGCAAAGCGCCTGCCTGGCAAGTGCAAGGCTGTGAGTTTGATTCCTGGTATCGGAAGAAAAACAGAAAAAACAAAACAAAAAAAATAAAGGCATTATCTTGGAGCTGATTTCTTTCATCTCCTTGCATTTAATCCTTCAGCCGTCACAGGTGATCTGATAAACAAACTCTTACATATTAAGGAGTAACCCCTGACCTACAACCTTCACAGGGTTAAAGAGGTTAGTAGCCACCTGAGCACTACTTAACACTAACTCTACACTTTGGTTTTTAGGACACCAGGCTTTGGTCCAAGTAGATATGTGAATTCACCTTTAAAAAAAAAAAAAAAAAAAAAATCAAGACTCTCTCTTTCACTCACATTTTCTTCTCTTTTTCCCCTTGCAACCTCATTGGGGTTTAAACGTTCCTAGTCTTTAAAAAATTTTCATTTTCATTTAATAAAAATATGCCATGTACTGTTTTATGGTTTTGTAACTTATGAAAATCTTCCATATTATTGAATATTCATGTAAAATGTCTGTAGTAACTATAGAACATTTCATTATAGGGATATATCAATTGTTTTTCCAATTTGGCAACATGGGGTTAGCTTATGTATTTACTATATAAAAAGAGATTATTAAGTAGTAACTGTGAGAAGTCTCTCACGGATTAGACTCCCAAATCAAGGGACAAATAACCCAATAATCTCAAATTTATTACTATTCTTGAGGATATTGTAGGTGGGAATGAGCATGCTTATTACTCTTTTATGTACTGTATTTCCTTAACTTTGTGCTAGAATCCTGTTATACTCCAAATGAGATGGCAAAATGAATTAAGATTTCAACGCACATTCCAACTACCTTTTAACAGAGGCTTTCTTACTTATCATATGTAAACTGAAATCTATCATGCTGCCCCATTTGTGGATGACTGAACAATGACTGTAAATTCAAGAGACTGCGAGAGTGAGCAAAAGTATACTTAACTCAGTACAACGTAGTCATTGTACTAGAAAATTACATATTTTATGCCTGTTTAAAAAACAATCTCAACTTTCACTTATAGGAGAATGACAGATCAGACTTTCAGAAATACCTTTAGGTATGAAATAACTATAAATGTTGAAAAGAATAAGACAAACATCCTTTTGAGGGAATGGTTAAGACCCCAAGAGATTACAGGACAAAAATGGAGGAAGAAACCAAACATCGTAGTGTAAGTGAGCATTAAGAGACCCTAGAGCTCTTCTGAAGGCGTTAGTAATCCTAGAAATCTAGAAATCACTTTTACTGGCCCTGTGAAGGTGAAAAAACAAGGGCTTGGATCTGCTTAAGATAAGAAGTTGGAAATAAGATCTCTGCCTAGAGCTAGGCTGCTTGGATTGCTAGTTACACATTTAGTAAACGTTGAACTAAGAAAAATATCTGCCTTATGGTGAAGAAAAAACAGTAACTTGCCTGTTTCAACTTCAGCTTCAGATGGCGGCAGTCTCTCTCCTTGAGAATTTATGATGATAGCCTTGCCCTCATGCAAGTCTGAGTTTTGAATTTATCCTACCTGCAAGTCTAGGAAACCATAGACAAGAAAAATTCTAAGCAGTCCTCAACTGTTTTACCCTGGGAGATTTGGCAAGAACAAACACTATTCTCCTTTTAGGAAAACAGAGATGTGTAGAATATAACCCAAGCCTCCCAATATTACTGGAGATTAAGATCAATCAAATATAAATACACAATTTAAAACTACAAGACACACAAGGAATTCAGCCATTGAGAATATGTCAATAGAACCCACAAACAGCAGTATGTGTTCTTCAGAGACTTCAGATACTGGTTGGTCAGTACAGAATATAAAATAGCTATGTTTAAAGTGTTTGAAGAAATGAAAGAGCTTGGGTGCTGTTGAGTGGCAGGGTGCTTGTCTAGCATGTGAAATGCTCGTGTTTGATCCCCAGAACCACAAAAACAGAAACAAAATAATAAATGAAGGCACTGAGAACGTGAGTAGGAAAAGAAAGACCACCAAAAATAATATGGCTAACAATAAATAAAAGGAAAAAGACAATCACAATGCCAATAACAAAAGTATCTAAAATAAATTTAAGAATGCAAAAAATGTAAGAAATTACAAATTGTCCAAAGACATGTGACAATTTAAATAGACTACAACAATAATTAAAGAATTAATTAATTAATTACTAGACTGAAGAGAAACTGTTTACATGCACAGATAGATAGATAGATATGTGGATATTTATTATGTTTCAACTCAGTGGGAAAAGATGATTTATTCAATAATGGTATTGGGCCATCCTATCCAATATTTAGAAAAGAAAAATTACTTCAAATAAATTTCAGTAAGATGTAAGTCTTAAAGTGGGGGAAAAAGAAGAAATTCATAAATTTATAAGAAAATTTAGGTGATTAGCAAAAAAAAATCTTGGGAGTAGGAAAGACCTATCCAACCACATCACTAAAGCCAGACACCATAAAGGAAAAGACCTTAGATTTTATATAAAAACAAGATGAGACTGGATTTGCCATCTTAATCTTTTTAAATTTACCGATCTTAAAAGGTATGCCAAAGACCAAGGACAGAAGAAACAAACACAAACTCTACATTTGATAATACCAAGAGGCTATTACCCCAAAACACAGTTAATGGAGATAACTAGCAGATGGAGAATACCTAAATGGTTGTATAAGGTGACACCAATGGAAAGCAAGCCTGGAAAGATCATAAAGATAAATACTCCAGAAGAGGGTGGGTGGAGATAAAAACAAGACAATACTAGGCTTCTGAATGAACAAGAGCTGAACTGCTAGGTCTCCTTCCCAGCCATCAGGTACCCACCACACCTCACCCTGGGAGGGGAAAGAAGGAGAAGTCTTTGGAGAACTGAATCAGATGTTCCAGACTCAGGCAACAAGAAGAGTGGAACTGACAACAGGGGTTAAGTGAAAAAAACAAAACAAAATGAAAAAACCCAATCCAGCTCCCAAACGCCTGTACCCAGTTGATAACTCCCAAAGAAAATATCTACAGATAGACATATCGGGGTTCCCAATTAAAAAGTGACCAGGATACTCCCATTATCCCACAGTTAAGCTCGAGAACTGAGACGCCCGCTCTATCAGTTCCATAGTAACTTACTCTTATATGACTAACAGATAAAACCAATCATTTAAGAAAAACTTTGAACAACAAAATTAGGACAAGAAAATTTAAAGGTAATACAGAAAACACACACAACGTAAGAGAAATTCAAAGGCAACATAAGGATTACTTTAGTGCTAAGATACTACAGTCATGTAATAAGAAATTAGACAGTAAGTATTGCTGGGCTTGGTGGTGCGTGTAATAATCCCAGCACTCGGGAGACTGAAGTAGAAAGATAGTAAGTTCAAGGCCAGCTTGGGGTACATAGTGAGATCCTTTCTAAAACCAAAAAAGCCCTCCCAAATCCCCCAAAAATCCAGAATAGTGATGTAGCTCAGTGGTAGAGTGCTTGTCCATCATACATTAGGTCTTAGCTTCAATCCCAAGTACAGCAAAATAAAGAGCTATGAAGAAATTAGAGAATAAGTAGAAACTCACAGCAATTAAAAATAGCTGAAATAAAAAGATTTAAAAGAAAAATCAAGGCTAGCTCTCCTAGTAGGACTATGGGGCTGGGGATGTAGCTCTGCGGCACAAGCACCTGCCTAGCAAATGCAAGATCCTGAGTTTGATTCCCAGAACCAAAAAAAAAAAAATCCTAATAGGACTATGAATAAAAATAGAAACAGAAGAGACAGACAGATAGACACAAACACACAAACTAAACACCTAAAGACTGAAGAGGTGCAGTACCAATAATAATTAAGAAATCTATGGCTGAGAAAGCTCCAACATGACAAAAAAGATGCACATATACATTACAAACTTTCTAAATATCAGGGATTAAAGAAAAACGATATTGTTTAAAAGAATAAAAAAAAGATAAAAGGATCAAAAGTACCACTGAAAGCCTAAAGATTATGAAGCAATGCTTCAAAATGCTAAGTGAAAACGATTTTCAACATAATTTTACATCCAGTTTAACTTTCTTTCTTCCTTTAAACTATCAATGTTTTATAATGAACTAGACATAGAACTGTCAAGTCTCCAAATATTTGCCAATCATATACTCTTTATCAAGAAACTTTTAGAAGACATACCCCATCAAATAGAATTAAGAAAAGGAAAAAACTTGGAATCCAGGAGTGAAAGAACTTCCAGGATGTGTGAAAGGGAAATCCCAAGACAAGAGCGAGTCTCAGGCCTAGAGAACAAACAGTTCATATTGGAAAAGGCAGACGAAAGGCTCTAACCTGGATGTTTTGGTAAAATGAAAATAGTAGCTTGTTTAACTGTACAGACAACTTGTCAAGTGGCATTTTACAAAGGTGTTGAGGGCTTGGGACTTACTTAGTCTGTAAGTCAAGAAAACCAAAGCAAATGAAAAAATACATTAATATTAGATCCTGGCAAAAAGAGAAAAACTGTTTAAGAAAGAAAATGTGATGACAGTATACTACTTGACAGTATACTATTAAAGTAAAATTAAAAAGGAAACACCAGAAAAAAAGTGCGTGAAAGATATTATATACAAAAGTAGAAAAAGCCAAGTACTTTTCACCTTCTACCACATAAAACCCTATAAAATAAAGGCTGAGGCTAAGACTCCTAGAGGGGACTGAGAACCTCTAGGGATTAACTATCTAGAAGGGCCAATTCTTCCTGGCTGAGTCTGACCCATTCTAATGGGTTTTGAGCCCATGAGAACTGGCTGCATGATCAGGATATATATGGATATTAAGGCAACTTACTTATCACCATCTTAAGGCATTCAGGATTGTCTTGAATAAGTGGTTCAGCTTGTACCGTTTTACTTAAGAAATTCTTTGATATAAGTGGAAACCTGACTTTAGCAAGGATATCAACCATAAATGGCTGGCGATTAGGTTCATCGTATTTCAACCACCTGACTGCAGCATCATAAACCTAAGGGGGAAAAACAGCATAGTAAAGTTCTTAGATGGCAGAAACATTCCAATTACCTATGTTTATTCTCACATTGAAGGGGAAAAAATCTCATAAGGAGATAAGCACTTATTCCCAATATTTATCAGATACTGCTTTTCAGCGTGAAACACGTTGCCTATACTTGGAGTGATCTGCAAACTGCTCTCGTGGGTCAAGTAGGTGGTATGTTTTCAAGAAGTAATTACTGCTACATAGCGTAATGCCAGGGAAAATGTTAAGTTTATGAGTCTTAAAACAAAATATAGCTTCCTTTTTGGAAGGAGATACACTGTACTGAAAAAAGTCTCTTGGTCAATGATAGTTTCAGTGTATGCTCATTTAATACCACAAAACAGGTTTTCCAGGAAGCTTTCCATCTGAGGAGATACGAAGGCCATTCATACTTCAACCTTACATTCCTATATTGTGATATTGACAGGCTTACCTACTTTCTAAAAGCTTAAAGATATAAAAATTCTAAATTACAGATTATATAAAATATTTCTAAGACTGTTGTTTTCCCAAATACTCTAGAATTCATTTAATTGCACTGAACAAGTCCAAACTCATGAACATGACTTACTTTATAAATCATTAATTTTAATACCCTGAACACAAATTTATTACTTCATATATACATATCTACCATATCTATGTGTAAGCTACCTAAATTAGTTAATTTTGAGGTGGTATTAATTAGGCCTAAGTTTTGATCTTTTTATGAATTAAATTTCTACAAAAAATGGTCTTTTTAAAAGATAGGCTTTTATTTTAGAATAGTTTTAGATTTACAAAAAAATTGCAAAGATAGTGCGAGGAGTTCTCATATACTCTGGATCCAGGTTACATCAGTGTAATACAGTTGTTACAACGAATGAACCAACATTGTTAATGAAGGTCCATATTTTTTTGAATTTCCTTCATTTTTATCTAATGTTACTTTTCTGTCTCATGGTTCCATTAAGGATACCATGTTACATCTAGTCATTAAATCATCTCTAGGCTTTTCTAGACTGTGACAGTTTCTCAGACTTACCTTGTTTTTGATGACCTTGACAGTTTTGAGTTCTGGTCAGGTATTTTAATTTGGATGTGTCTGCAGCTTTACTTATTAGACTAATGCTATGGTTTTTTCTGGAGGATGACCCTAAGGTGAAGTGCCATTCTCATTAGAAGTGGGCATGCAATTAACGTGATTTACACTGACAATGCTAACCTTGACCAGAGGTAGTACGGGTAATGTTTGACAGGCTTCTCCAGTCTAAAGTTACTTTTTCTTTTCTTGTATATCAGTCAGTTAATTCTGATCACAGAATTGAGTTTTGGGGTTTGACATAGGGCTTTGCTACATGGCCCAGACTGGACACAAACTCCCAGATTCAAGTGATGGGCTCCACGTCAGCCTCTTGGGTAGCTGTGAATTTAGGCACATGCCACCATGTATGGTGTATAGAACTGAGCTTTTATTTTGACCTAGTCAGATTATCCAGTGTAACTTATCAGCTTGCACCCTGATACTCTGAGCCAATCAGAAGACAGGGCAAAAGACAATAGCCTAAGGCAGTGGTACTGAACCTAAGGTATGCTTGCCCCAGGGAGCTGTTTGTATCACTGAAAGCTGTTTGTATCACTGAAAGCTCTGGCCTATGGCAAACTTTTTATTTTTAGAACTAAAGCAACTCAAAGCACAGGATCTCATATTAGTGTACTAGTTTCCTACTGCTGCTGTAACACATTACCACAAACTTAAAGATTAAAATATTGAGATGCGGAGCAGAAAAATAAGTGAGTCTGCATATCAAAGTGGTCCCCCTACCAGCTCCCAAATGCCTGCAGCTAGCTTATCTTTCTATTTGTCTGACAGCTACAGAGGTTAGAATATAAAAGAGGTCAAGGTTAGCTAAAACCAAAGTGTCAGCAAGGTTGCCTGGAGGTGCTATAGCTAAAGGACAGATGACTTCCCTGCCTTTTGCAGCATCTTGCAGCTGCTGCACTCCCTGGTTTGTGGGTCTCCCTTTCCCCTCAAAGTCAGCAGTGGCTGATCAACTCTTTCTCACAGGGCATCACTTTTCCACATTTTAGGATCCCTGTGACTAAGACCCACATGAATAATCCCCTCATCCCAAGATCCTTAATCACACCCTCAAAGTCCCCTGTACTATATAAGGTAACACAGGTTCTGGGGATTAGGATGTGGACATCTTTTGGGGAGGCAGCATTCTGCTTACCAGAATACCCAATAGTTTTATTTCTACAAAGCAGCACATCTCTCAAGGAGCTGACCCTTATAAGCACTCTTGAATTGTTTTTCCTTGAAAATAGCCTTTGAAGTAGTATTAATTATAAAGATGATTCCAATATAGTTATTGAAATATGATGCTTTTTCTTCCTAGGTATCCAAACATTAGGTATAAGGAATTAATAAAGAAATTTTTACTAAGAAAAACATGAGAGGGAAATTTAGTCACCTGATCCTCAGCTCTCACAGTCAGAGTGTCCTGGTTAAGAAGATGTGTTACTCGCTTGACATCAAGTTGTAGAAATTCATCGGTTTTGTAAACTTCAGTAAAATGCTGATGGATAAAGTCATCTGCTGTTGCTTTCAATTCAGGACAATCCAGACACTCTGCAAGCACACTTATACCTAAACATAGAGAGAAAAGAACACAATATTGCTTTTAGAAAAACCAAATATATATTAAAGATAAAGTACGACTTCAGAAAATTTGAATTTTGTAAATCTGGGTCCTTTCCTAACAATTTGTCTGTTCTTATGCCAATACTGCACTTACGTTTGGCTAGTTTTAATACTGTGTAGGGCAAGCCTCTTTCAATGTTTTCCAAACCTCTCTTGGGCAGTGTGCAGGACTTTCTCTAGTAAATAAATTCTGAAATAAGCATTACCTTATTTTAATTAGGGTTGTACAGAACTTTTGGACTACTGTGGGGACAGCTGATTTTGCAATGTAGAGAAGCTTTGTTTAAGAACATGACATATGTAAGTATAATGGTGCATGTCTGTAATCCCAGCACTTTGGGAGGCTGAGGCAGGCAGATACCAAGTTTGAACTCAGCCTAGGTGACTTAGTGAGACCTTGTCTCAAAATAAAAAATAAAATGGCTGGAGATGTAGCTCAGTATAAAGGCCCGGTGTTTAAACCCCAATAACACACTCACATACAGAGGGAAAGAAAGAAAGAATATGATATATATCAAATTTACTAAGACATAAACTTATTCATGATACTTAGATTTTAAAATGATCTCCAACGTAAAGACCGCTTTCTTCACATAAACCCTGTATCAGTGGTGGTGATCCTATGGCACAGGTACCGTAGTAGGCTGTTTGTATCAACTGAAAGCCCTAAAAGGTTCACCATCAGTGCCCTGTATATTTCCCACTCAGCCTTTCCTAGCTCCTTTATTTCATGTCTGGGAGGAAGTTCTGCCCATAGTTGGCTATTTATGTTCCCTATCAAGAGTCTGCCAAGTACTGTCTATGGGCCAAATCTTCAGTCTTCAGTATGTCTTTTCTTTCTAGGGTCAGAAGATAAGATTTTTTTCAACTATTTTTAAATAGCTGTTAAAAAACAAAACAAAACAAAAAACAAAACAGGAGGGGAAGAATGGAATGAGGAAAGGGTAAAAGAATGGGTAAGATAAGGCAAGTGTCATGTGTGGCCTGCAAAGCCTAAATATTCACATCTAGCTCTTTACAGCAAAACACTGGTAACCCTTCTACATAAAACCACTTTTTTGGTATACGACCTTGTAGCAGGCCACTTTTCTAAGTATAAAGTGATTTTTTTTTTAATGTTTCAAATTTATATTTTTTTAAAAAACATCAACAACAGATAATGAGCCAACTATGGTAATGTACGGCTGTAATTCCAGCACTCTGGGAGATTGAGGCAGAAGCATCAAGGCCAAATGGGCAACTTACTGAGACCCTCTTTCAAAAAATAAAGGGCTGCGTATGTAGCATGAAGGCCTTGAGTTCAATCCCCAGTATCATTAGGAAAGAGAAAAAAGGTAATAAAATCATAAAAATGCCTTCAGCATCTGTTGCTATGACTTTGAGTATTTGTTTTCCTTGTGTCTTCTCAGTAAATTATGAGATTTCTTAACACTGAAATGTGGCATTCCTGAGTAAAAAAACTATTATTTTAATTAATGAGCTTCATGTTTTGAGAGTGGTATTAGGTTTAATAGAGAGTATAATTGGGGTATAGAGAGTATAACATGCTTCCTTCACTTGCCTGAACTTGGGCAAAGCCCCAGAGCCAAGCCCCTTCAACCTCTGTCCTAAGAAAAAAACAAATAAGAACAACAAAGACCCCCGGGCCCACCTTGGATATTCCTAAAATTTTAGGCCAGGATGCCTGAGTGCCAGAGCGGCCATGCATTCAGTGCCTACATCACTTCTTTCCTTCTTATCTGGGCCACTTTCTGGACTGTTTTCCTTTCTAGCAACATGAGAACTGCCTGATCTGAGTGTTAACTCTGCCCTGTAAACTTTATTAAATTTTGCTACTTTTCCCCATGCCACCTAGTTCTTTATTATTGAACATGGAATATGGAAATCCACCCAGGAACTCTGGTAATACCTTGGTGATTCAGCCAGGAAGTTAAAAAAAAAAAAAAAAAGGAATGGAGACGGTGCTTACTTTGACTCTAGCAAACTCAGCCAAAAGGCTTTCCATTTTTTTTCTTTTTTCCTTCTCCCTGTCTCAAATCCTAACTTTTTTCTGACATTAGTTATCAGAGAGGGGCCGGGAACTGCAGGGTAAAGGAGCCTACAGCACCCACCCTATGTATTCGAGGGAGGGGAAGCACGTGGTTTCCCGGCCCCTAAGACAAGCTCACGGGTCTGTGGGAAGAGTGCTGTTCCAGCCCTTCTCAGCTGTCTACCACAACCTTCCCGGCAACTAGGGCTGCTTCTCGATCCCTGCCTGTAGTTATTTCTTTCTGGGGCCTTTTGGGGTTGTTTCTCTAATACTAGCTCTCTTCCTCACTCCATTCTACTTGGTTCCATTACTAGGATAATTTTGGCCTCAACTTTATTTTACTGTCTAACATTATGTATAACCTGTGGTTGCTAAATGACTTTCCGTTGTGAAGCTGTAATCTTCCAGGAAACCTGTTTCCTTTTGTGGCATGAACTAGAAAAATGCAAGGAGTTGGGGACAAAGGAAGGGGTTAGGGAGGTCTGAGGGTACTATGCAGAATCTCAAATTTTAGCAGTTTTTTTTTTTTTTTGGTCATTTTGAGACAGGGTTTCAGGCTGGCCTCAAACTCACAGTGCTCCTCTGCCTCAGCCTCCTGAGTGCTGGGATTACAAGGGTGTGCCACTGCCCAGCCTCAGACTCTGAAGTTTTAAAGCTAGGTCCTGCCTGGGTTACTGCAGGAGTGGGGTCAAAAATCCCACCTCTCTTAGGCTAATAGCATTTGGGATGGCCTTCTAAGTTTGATTCTTCTTCTCTAGGGCTATGTCCTATCACCAGTTCTTATGATGGCCACCTACTGGTTCCTTACCCATTAGACTTTCCTCAGCCCCTTTGCAAGTAAGCAAGCTCTACCTACCCTACTTTCCCAAATAATGGGTCACAGTTAAAGACTGGCACCTCTGTCAGCCAGGGTCCCCAAGAGGCACCAATGCAGGAAATTTTACTGGGTTTCATGGAGGTTTCTCAGCGGGGAAGCGTTTACTACTCTTCCTTAGACATGTATACTGTGACATCAAGTGATTTTATAACTGGCTAGAGGCTTCCAGCCAGTAGGGCATTCCAGTGCTGGACTCTCAATCAGGGAGATAGGTTGTGGCCAGTGGACAAGATTCAAAAGTCCAAAGGAAGTGGTGCTAGTACCCATACAAGGCTACAGATGTCTAGTAATTGAATCCCAAGTAGTTTAGCTTTTCCAGAGCTCACTCTGTGGCTGAACAGGTCAGAGACTGACTCAGAGGATGCCTTGTAAGGTTTCCATGCGGGGACTGACCAGGGGGTGCTCTGTACGGTTCCCATGACCTAATCCCAAGGAGCTTGGCTTTATCAGTATGCCCTGGGCTGAACAGTTTAGGAATGTACCCAGGATACGGCCTGTAAGGTTCCCATGACTTAATCCTTATTCTTCCTGCCCATAAATGCATCATGGGGTATGCCTCATCCATTTCACCTGACTCCCTAAAAGAGATGGAGAACATAGTCAGAGGTGCCTGTGTCCAAGCCTTCCTGGCCCCCCACCAAAAGCCTGATCTTTTCCATAGAAGTAATCCTTCCTCAAATGATGCTGATGAGGACTTCCTCTTGTCAGCGACTCCTCCCCCTTTCAGGCTATCTCTGTACCACCCTGCACAGTCAGTGCCCCAGCAGATAAAGATAACCTCCTGAGCCCACCCCATACTAGGTCTGGGTCTGCCTACCATAAAGATCCAGAAAGAGGACATTCAACATCTAAACCTGCCACCACTCTACCCCTTTGGGAAGTGGCAGATGTACCATCCAAGTTCAGGTCCTTTTTTCGTTATGGGTATTTGACAACGCAAAGAGAAACTGGGCTAAGTTTTCTGAGGACCCTGAAAGTCTGCTGATAGACTCTGTACCCTAACAATAGCTTCTGATATGACCTTGAAAGATGTCTAGTTCATCCTATTTTCCTGCTGTACAACAGAAAGAGCGAAGATTATAAGAGCTGAAGACAGGCTAATAATGAGATCTCTACAGCTATGCCTGCTGGTGATCAGCCAACTGATACATTATTTGGGTCCCCCAAAGGGCCTGGGTAAGATTATAACACTAGGGGTGGAGAAACCAAATGAAGATTATACCTCCAGTTCATCTTAGTAGCTATGCACCAGGGCATGCCCAAGCCTGTGAATTATGATAAGCTCAGGATTATGAGCCAGGGCTCTGATGAAAATCCACCTGCCTTTTAGCATCAGCTTCAAGAGGTACACCAGAAATATAATAATTTAAACCTGGAGTCTAGAGAGGGCCAAATTATCCTGGAACAGTATTAGCCAGTCAGCTCCAGATATTAGGAAGAAACTCCAGAAATTCCAACTGAGCCCATAAGCTGGGATAAGTCAATTGGTTGATGTAGATTTTAGTCTTTTTAACAACCATGATAAAGTAGAGGACAAACAGGGAGTTCAGTAAGGCAAAAAGTCATGCTCTAGCTAATGGACAAGGCTCATGATAAAGTCTACAGCACCAAGGGGAACTGAAATATTAATCCAAAGAGTGATGGAGGCAAGTCTGAATGACTTACCCCAGCTCATGGGCTCAATTGGAGCAGCCTAAAAGACACCAAGTCTTTGCTGGGCCTGTCTGAACAAAGATGAGGACCCTTGGCATCAGAGGAGGTATGGCCCTGCTTCCTAGAAGGGGATGAAGTCACCTACCACCATGGTGGACAGTGCAGAATGCCTAGACTGTGACTGATGATGCCAGAGGCAGCCTGCAAGCAAACAAATTACCTTTCTCTGCAATACTAGGGCATCTTACTCAATTCTAATCTCGTATTGGGATGAGTTATCATCCCATTCCTCAGTTGTCGTGGGCCTTGAAGGAGTTACCTGGTCAGCCTTCTTTATCCCTACTCTCCAGACAGCTTGCTTTATCCCCACTCTGATCTGCCCTTTGG